CCAGAATACAAAATTATTGACACAGACTTAGAGCCATCAGAGGCTACGAATCTGTGTTAAAAAAGGCAGAACAGACAAATATGAACCAAATTTCATCACAGTGTGACAAACGATTTGCATGAAAGTGGACGAATATATATCGGAGATATACCTAAATTTGAACAGAACACAAAACACATTTTAAAACTCGTCATTTTAATACAGCCTGACGAACGGACATGCATAAATTAAATCAGAAAGTGATTCTATGTAATTCCCCAAAGCAAATGTGTGGGATAGGATTTAACATCTTTGAACAAATAAGCATTATTATTACTAAGGGTTCTTGAAAACAATTCTTAAAAAATATTTCGAAATTTAATCTCTAAACATCAACGTTTATAATTGTTCAAAGAAATCCCTGTCCTTGAAAAGTGTAAATTCGAATCTTTGAATTATTGATTCGAATTCTTGAAACATATTTTGTAAAAAACACCTTAAAAGCCACACTTACATTTTTTGATATACTGTGAATTTTACAGTGTTGGCGTTTAATAAATTACAAACACATTTACATACACATATTTCTTGGTAAACTAATTTAAATGTATAGCAATTAGTCATTATAATATTCATATCCACATATTTTACATTTTATTTACGTTATGGATATCACTGTTGCTTTCTTTTGCGAAGTAAAGTAACGATATCACGTAAACTTTTCGAAAAAAGGTGAAAGATTGTTGCCACTCAATAATCAACGACATATGTGCTTGACGATTTGCAGCAAATGAAACAATAACGCCAACAACAACACAACAATAATAACAATAATGAACGAATGAAAAAACAGCAGCAGCAATCTAACAAATCATTCAAATCCATTTCGAACACAAACAATAATCTGTGAATAATCCGACTATAAGCCTAAATGTTTGGTACATGCAAACAATGTTGTCAAGTTGGCGATTTTTAGAAATGTCATCATTGTGGTTCGTTTTGAGAATATGCATAGAATCACTTTCTGAGTTGATTTATGAATGTCCTTCTGTCCGTCCGGCCGTCCGGCCGTTAAATGAAAATTGTCACATATTTTTTAGCAAATGGTGCACCAGAGAGTCAAATTTAGGCCGATTTGCACAATATTATGCACATCGTACTGAAGTTAGTATAACCTAACGTGTGCCAAGTTTTGATGAAATTGGTTCATATAGCTCCCATATATTTTCGTCCGATTTTAGGTGAATGGTGCACCAAACTCTTCATGTTTCTTCGATTGACACCAAATTTTGAACAACGTTCAACATGTTTTAAGTTAAGGTGTTAAACTGAGCCTAGAATATTGCGTTTTGTAAAAATTGGTTCAGATGCAAATATTGTCCCCATATATATTGCAGCCTAACTTCATTTTAATAGTGCACCAAATAATGAACTGGTGTTCAATTGAGATTAAATTTTGAACAGTTCTCTATTTGCCCTTTTGCACAAAAAAGACTCCAAATCTGCCCTAATGAAATGAAATTTGACATAGGTTACCGAAGACATATGTGTGGATTGATATACCCAATAAGAATACGAATACCAAAATACCGATAATTGGAAGGGTACCGTTAGAAAAATTGGACAGATAATTATAATATTTAGTTGCGATATTTGGTACCCAAAAAGAACCCATTGCACCAAATTTCAGCGAATTCGCTTGAATAGCTTGCTCAAGAACCCCAACGTATCGAAAATTGGGGGGTACCCTTATGTAGAGGATATGTCTAAACGTGGACCAATATAGCTCATTTTTAAACTTGATATCTATCTCAATTCGTTTAGAGGCTAGAGTGATAGCAACAGACAGACGGAGAATATGTATTTATTGGGTTGGAAATTTATAATTTCGATGAAATGATTATTATAAACTGAAAAACAAACTTAATATACTCTCCATACTATGGTGGAGGGTATAAAAAAGTCGGTTCACATATAGACACAGATCACATATTTAATTTAGTCCAATTTCATGTCAATGGTATAGTCCGTCCGAATATACTACTTTCCTTATTGGTTTTTTTTATACCCTTCACCACTCTGTGGTACAGGGTATTATGTCTTTGGGCATATGTTTGTAACAGGCAAAAGGAAACGAGATATACACATGGTTCCTTTTGAGAATATGCATAGAATCACTTTCTGAGTCGATTTATGCATGTCCGTCCGTCCCTCCGTCTGTCGATGTTAAATTGTAAACAAAGTACAGGTTACATTTATAATCCGAATTGGATGAAATTTGGCATAGGTCACTTATTCGGCCCAAGGACGAACCCTATTGAAATTGGGAAAAATCGGTTCAGATTTATATATAGCTCCCATATATATTTTCTTCCGATTTAATGTAAAGGATCCCTATATATCATTCGATTTGCACGAAATCTGGTATAGAGTAATGAATTAGGTCTAGAATGATGTGTGCAAAGTTTCGTGAAAATCGGTTCAGATTTGGATATAGCTCCCATATATATTTTCTTCCGATTTAAGGTAAATTGTGTACCAAAGTCCCTATATAACTTTAGATTTGCACGAAATTTGGCACAGTGTAATGAATTAGGTTTAGAATGATGTGTGCAAAGTTTAGTGAACATCGGTTTAGATTTGGATATAGCTCCCATATATATTTTCGTCCGATTTAAGGTAAATGGTGTACCAAAGTCTCTATATATACTTCGATTTGTACGAAATTTGGCATAGCGTACTGAATTAAGTCTAGAACGATGTGGGTCAAGTTTCCTTAAAATCGGTTCAGATTTGGATATAGTTCCCATATATATTTTCGTCCGATTTGAGGTAAATTGTGTGCCAAAGTCCCTATATATCTTTCGATTTCCACGAAATATGGCACAGCGTAATGAATTAGGGCTAGAATGATGTGTGCAAAGTTTCGTGAAAATCGGTTCAGATTTGGATATAGCTCCCATATATTTTCGTCCGATTTAAAGTAAATGGTGTACCAAGGTTCCTATATATAGCTTTCGATTTGCACAAAATTTGGCATAGCGTACTGAATTAAGTCTAGAGGGATGTGTGTTATTTTTTGTGAAAATCGGTTCAGATTTAGATATAGCTCCCACATATAGATTATATTCTTAACAACGCGGCGTACCGAATAGCGTGTGTCAATTTTGCTATAAATCGTTTTCCATAAATTTTCCCCATGTTTCGCAGGCGGCTCTAAATCTGCTCGAATGAAATTAAAGCTAGGATAGGTTGGAGAAAGAGGGAACATAGACATACAATTGCTAGGATACATATGTACAATATACCCAAAGTAGTGAAGGGTATCATATAGTCGGCCCAGTCCGACTTTACTACTTTCCTTTCCTGTAGAAGACCATGACGTCTTCTACAATAGAAGTCTATTAGTTCCTCTTCCAAAGCAGATGGCGAGATATTCTTCGATAGAAGACCATGACTCGTTCCTCGATAAAATACCATGAGATTCCGTAAAAGAAGATGAGGGCTTCAGTAGAAGACCGAAAAAAGACTACAAGATCTTCTTCCAGAGTAGACCAAAAATAGTCTTCCCCTTAGAAGACCATGAAGTATTATTTTATATTGACAATGAGGCCGCCTCTCCACACATTTCGTACAACTAATGTATTTGGTCCACGGATGAACCCTATTGAAATTGGTTAAAATCGATTTTGATTTAGATATAGCAACCATATATACTTTACGACCGATTTTACAATAGCGATCACAGTCTCATGCTTGTCCGATTAAAAAAAAGAATGTACACCGTGCTAAATTGAGACAAGAATGACGTATATTAAGTTTTGTCGAAATCGGTTCTGATTTAGATATTGATTTATTATGTTATATTAATGATGCACCAAACTCCCAAGTTTTGTCTGAGTGAGATGAAGTTGTGCTAAGTTTTTTGAATTAAGTCGAAATAGGTTCAGATTCAGATATAGTTCCCATATAGAGTCTCAAGCGATTTTATGTTAATGGTGACCTAAACTCCCAAAGTATATCCGATTATGTCAAAATTTTGATGTTGGTTAACTTTCGATGAAACCCGTTTGGATTTCGATAGAGCTCTCATATATTTTTTCGACCGATTTCAGGTAAGTGGTGCATCAAACACCCCACTTCTTTCCTTATTACAGAAACTTTCGAATTAAGTATATAATGGAAGCTTATTTCAAGTTTTATTCAAATTGATATATAGCACCCATATATATATATATATATATATATATATCCAAAGTGGTGTAGGATATCACACAATCGGCCTTTGGTAATTTTCTTATTAGTTTACAATATATTTATTGTGATATTTATTTATGAAAATAAAAAACCTCAAAATGTTAACATTGATTTATTCATTCTTTCATTAAAGCACGTTGGGGCCATCGCATGCAAACTGTGCGGTATGCATTTGGTTACTGACTTGTTTCTTCTTCTTTGTTTTTGTTGTTTAACTGGAGGTGCTACAATTGCTGAGTGTGTTTTTTTTTTTTTTTTTTTTTTTGGCTGAGACAATGGCGATGATGAACCTGAACATCATTATCGTCTGGTGACGCTGGTTTGGCTTTGGTGACGCTGGTTTGGGAGACAGACAGACAAACAGAGAAGTAGGCAGACTGAATGTTGTTTGGCACCCATCATTGTTGTGCGCATGTGCCACAAGCTGAGAAACGGCTCATAGCACAGCACAATCTGCCAATCGGCCAAACAACAACAACACAGCACAGCACAAGAAAAACAGTTTCAATTTCATTTTTAAACAAATGCTAACCGCAAATACATCTTTAATGCATAATCAACTTTCGAAGAGTGCGGTCCGGTCGGTTGGCCAATAATAATAAGAAGAAAAACAATCGTTAAAGTGACAAAAAAGCATTTAAGCATTTAATAACCAAAGAAATAAATAGTAAAAAAACAGCAACAAAATATTTTAAAACAATAAATTGCAATTTAAGGAAATTTGGAAATAAAAAAAGAAAATATTTTCCTAAAAAAAACACAAAATGTCAATCGCGCCGCAAATATGTACGGTTGTGCTAATCATATTAGTGTCCTCATGTGTTCTAGTCGAAAATCGCAGTTATGACAATGGCCTCATATTTTACGACCTTAAAACGAAACAAATTATCTTACCTCCCACCGTATCGGTATCGCGCGGTCGTAGCCTGTCAAATTTCAAATTCTCCAGCAAGGGTTCCATATGGTCAACATTTGGTAAACCATGCGAGTGTGCCGGGCCACTGTGTGGCTGTTGTGTTGGTATCAAAGTGAAACAATATAATTTCGATCAGAAAAGTACGTGCTCAAAATATTCAAAATCTTTCTTTTTGTTATACAATACGACCACCATTTATGATAACAATCAAAATTGAAAATGAAACCCCCACCAAAAAAAAAATAATTGTTTATTTCGTACATGTCTTTAGATCTCTAGCCATTATGTAGTGCACCTTATGAATGAATTATTCACAGTAGCTGCAAAAACCAAACACAATATGCCAGATTTTGACCATTTAATATACAAATGTGTGTAAACAATTTCAGTTTTTTATTGTTTGATGTGTGTCTAAAGAAATTAAATTACCCAGATAAGTGAAATTATTAAATGAACATCTTTGATTGCTTCGGACGTAACAAAACTGTAAACTTGTTAATTGAATACAAATATCCAATTGCAAAAAAGATATACAAATATTACGCGAAACAGAGTAAACGATGTGTGTGCAATATTTAATCGAAATGAAATTGAAAGTTAATATTATTTGGCATCAAACTAAATAATCATACCGATAAATATTCAACAGAATTTAAGTCCATATTCACGAATTAGAGAAATTAATAGTATTATCCGGAATTATACTAAATGAAGGATTTTATTATAAACTGAAAAATGGATAGTTAATTTTTAATCAATTAGAAATTTCATTAACGTATTTTAGCAAGCAGGGTTTTCCAGACTTTGAATGAAAATTCTCAACTGTTTTACTACTGGTGTACAAGGTGGATTGGTATTTTACTTTCATGCTGAAGGTCTTAATTTTTGTACCCTTCACCTTCAAATGGTGCACCAATGTCCCTGAAAATCATTAGATTTGCACGAATTTTGGCATAGCGTACAAAATTAAGTCGACAATGATGTGTACTAAATTTCGCCCGATTTTAGGTAAATGGTACACCAAAGTCCCTGAAAATCATTAGATTTGTGCGAATTTTGGCATAGCGTACTAAATTAAGTCGACAATTCGCCCGATTTTAGGTAAATGGTGCACTTTATATATCTTTCGATTTGCACGAAATTTGGTATAGCGTACTAAATTAAGTCTAGAATGATGTGTGTTATCACATATATTTTCGTCCGACTTTATGTAAATGATGCACCAACTTCACTATATATCTTTCGATGTGCACGAAAATTCGATTTATAACTAAATGAAGAACTCCAAATGTGGCCGAATGCACAAAACATACTGAAATAAGTGTAACCTAACATGTGACAAGTTTCGATGAAATCGGTTTAGATTTCGATATTTTGCTTTAAATTTATTTACATAATTTTGTCCCATTGTAAGAAGCAACTCTATATCTGACCAAAATTTAGTATAGGTTGCAGAATGACATGTTTAATTTCATGGTAATGGTCCTTCAAAAATGCGACGTCTGTTGGGATTCCATCTGTTGAATATACCCAAAGTGTTGAAGGGTATCATATTGTCGGCCCCGTCCGTTCCTTATTGGTTTTATGTTATGTTTTTGTTGCTCTAGATACCGCAATTATGACCCAAACATCACTCAATTTTACATGAGGAGGGGGATTTCGCCAAAAAAATAAGCAAGGCCCTCTTGATACTATACTGCTCCACTCACAGCGTTTTATATTTTTTGATTCCGCAGAGGATAAAATGCGTCTTGACTGGGAATTGACAATATATTTTCATACTTTGACATAACAGCTACATAAAGGTCTCTCCTATTTCAACTTTTTAAAGTTCCAGCTCCGAAGTCGTTGGAAAATGTATTATATTTACAAAAATTTCAAAGGCTAAACCTTTGTGACGGAGGTACCAGAAGGTACGAACCAATAATATCCACCTTCGTACATAATATACTTACTGGAGACAGAACATTTTTTCCAAAAGACGAGCATACACCAGTAAGGAAAGTAGTAAAGTCGGACTGGGTCGATATATACCCTTCACCACTTTGGGTATATTCTTCAATTTCAATAGGGTTGGGCCAAATAAGTGACTTGTGCTACATTTCATCCAAATCGGACCATAAATGCGACCTGTACTTTGGTTAGAATTTAACATGTCCGTCTTTAGACATGCATAAATCGACTCACAAAGTGATTCTATGGATATTCTCAAAAGGAACCATGTGTCTATCTCTTTTCCTTTTGTCTGTTACAAACATATGCACCCTTCACCTTATAAAAATATTTCCAGGCGTGTGTTGATGGTATACCTCGTGGTTCAATTGACGCCGATATTCACCGTTGACGCAGATCGGCTCGTAGATCTTTCGGAGAATTTCTCCGGATTTCAAAACGGATGTAATCTGTTTTTTAGTTATGGTGTTACCGAGGTAGATTAAATCTCTGTTTACCTCAATGTTTCAGTTTTCAAGTTCCACTACTGGCTCAAATCTATTGGACGTCTTGCGCGATGATACCAACAGCTTGGTCTTCTCGCCATTTACTGCTGACCTTGTCCGAGTTAAAGTTATCCTGCATAACCGTATTAATTTTGCAGGAATGCCGAACGCAGACATGTCGCTAATATTTTCGTGGGCCTTTTGGCGAAGTGTGTGGCGCAGTGTGAAAATCGGGTCTTTGGAGGATTTTCCAGGTCTGAAGCCCCATTGTTATGATCAAATATTGTCATTGACCATTGGCTTCAATCGTTCACACAGCACGCTGGATAACACATTATATGCGATGGGAAGAAGAATAATTCCTCTATAGTTGGAACATATCGTCTTGTCCTTTTTTTTTGTGCGTGGGACACAGGATGCTCATGTTCCAATAATTGGTCTTGAATAGTTTGGCTGCTGGCTACTTTATTATTCTTCAGTCGTATAGAGTGTATACCACCTAGATAGGTATACACTCTATACCATCATCTCTCATTAGTTCTAGGGTATCTTTTTCATCGTCAATATTTTATACCAGAAGCTTTGCAAAATACTCCATCCAAATCCTCAACACACTATCTGTATATGTCAACAGGTTACCTTATTCATCTCCACAGGAGAGTGTGTCTGCACCAAAGCATTTAGTTGGGTTTTTTACTCGTTGGTAACATTTCGCATTTATGATCCAAATTGAATAAAATTTGTCACATGCCATTTATTTGGTCCAAGGACTATTGAAATTGGAGAAAATCGGTTCAGATTTTCAGATCCCATATATATTTTCGTCCTCCTCATACTTGTCCGATCGAGACACAATTTTACACAACGTACTGAATTGCGTACAGGTTGATTTTGAGTTTTGTTGAAATCGGTTCAGATTTTGATATAGGTCCCATATATTGTTTCGTCGATTTTATGTGAATGATGCCCCAAACTCCCAATATTTTTCCGATTAGACAAAATATATGCGAAGTTTTGTTGAAATTGGTTCAGATTTAGATATAGCTCCCATATAAAGTTTCGTCCGATTTTATGTAAATGTTGCAACACACTCCCAATATTGGTCCGATTGAGACAACAATTTGCACAACGTACTTAATTAGGTACAGATTGATGTATGCGAAGTTTTGTTCAAATCAGTTTAGCATTATACAATATAATATTTGTCCGTTTGAGATAAAATTGTGAATAGCGAATGCAATTGAGTCAATAATGATGTGTGTTAAGGTTCATTGAAATCGGTTCAGATTTATATATAGGTCATATATATATATATATATATATATATATATATATATATTTTCGTCCGATTTCATGTAAATTGTGCACCGAAGAGGCTATGTTTGTTCGATTTACACCAAATTTGTGTAAATCTGTTCTATCTACAGGATATTTTATATAAAATATTAGCATCTCTTGTATGCCTAAGGTGGTGAAGGTCCCCTCCGAATTTTGAACTTTCCTTACTTGTTTATTTATTTTTTAGGCTTGTAGGGTAGGCTTGTGCTATATGCTAGACGAGTGCGAACCTTGGCTGCTACAAGGTAATGGTGCAAATCGATATTCGTCTAAAACACAGGGTGAATACCTGTCGTCTATCACAACATGATCAATTTGATTTCCCCTTGTTCGATCGGGAGAAATCCGATATGCTTGAATCTGGTGTTGCTAACTTCTATGTTTTTGCTGCCGCAAAGACAATCAGCCGGATGTTTTTCATGGAGGCTGAATTTTCAGACGGTGACACCAAAACGATTTTCGCACGGGCGCAAATAAGACTGATGTAGAAAAACTTCGCTTTTATACGGATTAAAGCGATTGGGTCATCTACAGGAGTAAATCTGGAGACGAGGTCTTTTATTCTCCTGTTCACCATAAATTCACTGCCAAATTCATGTTTCGCTTCATGCAAGCTATAATACAGAACGTAATCATCTGATTCACTTACGTCCTTTTCCATCGTATTTCTTTTAAGGCAATAATATCGACTTTGTACTTCTTAAGTACATCTGCTAATGCGAAAACTGTGTCTTTTCTGTTCAACGTGCGCACATACCAAGCGCAAATCGTGATCAGCGGAGGTCATAAAGATAAGGCAGGTTTGGTTTTCTTTTTCGTATCTTTTTCATAGAATGTGGGGTTTTCCGAGTCTGGGCAAATAAACCCGACGGCTCAATCCATTCTTTTTAATTCTTATGAGTGAACTCGCGGCACATATCGGCTCACTATTCAACGGATGTTGAAAGTAGCTACCCCAGGGGAGGTCAGTATCCACAATTTAGATGAAAGAGGGACCAAGATAAGCCTTAAAATCAATCGGAGCCGTTGCTTGGCATCTATCATCCCCTACGTCACCCTCATCTATATATATAAAAATGGAGCCATAAAAATGTATACTAACTCATCAATTGAGAACGGCTAGACCGATTTAACTCAAAGTTTCTTTCAGTTTTCGGTAATTACAGTGGGAAGGTTTTTATGAAAGAAAATTTTAAGAAAAATCCGCGAAAATCTTGCAAAAATTATTTTAAAAAAATGGCTGGACCGATTTGACTTAAAATTTCTGTTAGTTGTTTGTAATTGAAGTGGAGAGATTTTAATGAAAGAACATTTTGAGAAAAATCCGCGAAAATGTTGCAAAAATTATTTTAAAGAAACGGCTGGACGATTTGACTTACAGTTTCTGTTAGTAGTCTGTAATTGAAGTGGAAAGGTTTTAATGAAAGAAAATTTTGAGAAAAATCCGCAAAAATGTTGCAAAATGTATTTTTAAAGATATTAGAATGTCCACACATTTTATATCGAACCTTTATGATTTCATCTCTTCGTAGTTCTTCTTGGACATATTTTGGGCGAAAATTGGCAGCGTATATCTTTAAGTAGTTGTCATTTATGAAAAATTCTCAAAATATGATAATTTTCTACAATCAATTGGATTGTCATTGCCTTGAAAAAACTATTGTATATATGTATGTATATAAAAGTGAATTGCTGTTCATTAGTGTCGCTAAAACTCGAGAACGGCTGAACGGATTTATCTGATCTTAGTCTTGAAAACCGCGAAAAATTTTCAAAAAAATTATTATGAAGCATATTTGCATTTCCACGAATTTTGTATCAAGCTATTTGCACCACGTCGTAGTTGCTTTTTGAGATATTTTGGGCTAGAATTGGTAGCGACCAATCCTATAAGCCCTCATTTGTCAATTATTGAAAATTTTAAATTTCAATTGGATTGACATTGTATTTAAACTTTTTTGTGAGAATACAAAAAATAATTGAGAAGTATATCTTTGAATGTACAAATTACAACCAAATACCGAATTTTAGGTATATGGGGGATATTCGTTATATGGGGGATATTCGAATTCTTGGGCCAATATTGATCATCTCAATTAGGCAGTATAAGTAGTAGTACCCCTATTATTAAATTAGAAGTAATTCTGTTGAATATTGGGGGCTACCATAAAAAGTGAACGAAAATGTAACATTTTCAATACCAAATGTCTTATGAGTAGTAGAAATGTGCAAATTTCAAAGTTCTATATTAAATCGTGGAGGGTATAAAAAGCTAATTTAATATTACGCTACTGTTATATGGAAGTCTAATAAATATATTGGGGAAAATGTAATTAAATACGGAAGTCAAACTTATATGTGCATTTAAATGTTTTTAATTTAAATGATTTTCCACGAATTCAATTATTAATCAACAAAACTTTAAAAGACAAAAATAGCAAATAGCTCCTAAACATAAAATTTTAGATATTCAGTATTGTAATGTTATATTCTGTGTGTTCGGACAAATACCAAGGTATTACAAAAATCTGTGGAGGGTATAAAAACCAACCTAAAATGACGAAAATTATACATCAACTATATTGCTAGGCAATACAACGTTTGCCGGGCCCGCTAGTATTGTATAGTTTTTGTAAAAATATTGAAAAGTTTCTATCAAAGCGCAGAATCTGTTCGCTTTATTTTATATGGATATTAACTCCTTTATGTTTAATGAATTGTTGTTAAAAAAAATAAAAAAAAATGTTTGAAGAAAAAACAACACATTTACATATCATTAAATCGAATGGCTTATAAATTATTTTAACACCCTATGTCAATGAGCTTCTTTGTTTTTGGCGCTACTCTTTTGTCTGGTGAAGATGTCAGTTGGCGGCAGTTGCAAGACACTTTCAACTTTGATTCATTTGCAAAAAAATGAAAACAAAACTTTCTCGTTGCAATTTATTGTTAACCTGACGTAGTTTAGTTTGCTTTTAATATCGCTTGTAAGCGAATTGCATGAACGCCATGGCGTCTGAAAATGAAACAGGGGTTGGGTTGGGGGACAAGTAGGCATGCAAATCAAATCAAATGACTAGTAAATTATCTATGGAAAAATATGTTCACTTTCATTGACAATGTCAGTCATTCAAACTATTTTTTGTTTTTGCAATTCAGACACTTTGAAGTCATGCAAAGAGACAACTAAAAGTGTAGCATTGACTATGCGCCAAAGTGTAATAATAATAAATTTCATTTTAAACAATGTAATTTAATTTGTTTATGATCTATTTGAAATATGCATTAATTTTAATTATATAGGAGTTAATTTATGCTGGCAGGTGATGATGGCACTGGCATATTGCTTGTTTAAACAAAGACACGAACAAAAGCAAATAAAAATCGTTATGTTTATGTAGGGGCAACCCTGAAACTTGGGTCAATAATAATAATAATTTTATTAATACGGATATGTGCTATCCAATCAGAACTCAAAATACCAATTTGCGGCCAATTCGGTTGGAAAACATGTCCAAAAATACCGAGTATTGGGGATAACCGTTATATGGGGGCTACCGTGAAACTTGTATCAATATTAATAATTTTTTACTTTTTTAGGTAAGCCAGAGTGATCCCTTTCTTGTTGTTTTAAAAATAACCAGTAAGGAAAGTAGTAAAGTCGGACTGGGCCGACTATATGATACCCTTCACCTCTTTGGGGACATTCTACATATGTATCTTTACAGATTCGTCTTTTCGAAGGAACATCGACATGAAATTGAACGAACTTAAAAATGCGATCTTTAACTATAAGTAAGCCGACTAACATCAATCCTTACACACACCATTCTGCAATCTATACCACACTTATTAAATAGACTTTAAGCAAACTTTACGCACGCTATTTGGTATGCTTCACTGTTTAAAATGAAACATCAATCAAGCACCCATTGATTATTTGGTTTACAATCAACATTAATAGGTCGAAATTATATATGGAAGCTATGCTATATCTAAATCTAAACCGATTTCAATGAAACTTGCCCGAGATTAATTTATATTAATTTCAGTACGTTTTGACAATCGACTTAGCTATGGGTCTTTAGTACACCATTTACTTAAAATAGGACGGAAGTATATATAGGAGCTATATGTAAATCTGAACCAATTTCAAGAAAACTTGACACACGAATGGTTATAAAAAGTTCAGTACATCGTACAAAATTGTGTGGTTTTTGGTTCTTTAGTGTATAATTTACATTAAATCGGAAGAAAATATGTATTGGAGCTATATCTAAATCTGAACCGCTTTTCACGAAACTTAGCACAAATCATTCTGGACCCAATTCAGTACCGTATGTACCGTACCGTATATAGGGACTTTGGAGACACATTTACGTTAAATCGGGCGAAAATATATATGGGAGCTATATATATAAATCTGACCCGATTTTCTATATACGGGAGCTATATCTAAATCAGAACCGATTTTCTCGAAACGTGGCACACATCAATCTGAACCTAATTTAGTACTCTGTGCTAAATTTCGTGCAAATCGAAAGATATTGAGGGACTTTGGTGCACCATTTACCTTAAATCGGACGAAAATATATATATATATATATATAGGAGCTATATCTGAATCTGCACCGAATTTTCCCAATTTCAATAGGGTTCGTCCTTGGGCCAAATAAGTGATTTGTGTCAAATTTCACCCAAAGCGGATCATAAATGCGACTTGTACATTGTTTACAATTTAACATCTACAGACGGACGGACGGACGGACGGACACGCATAAATCGACTCAAAAAGTGATTCTATGCATATTCTCAAAAGGAACCATGTGTCTATCTCGTTTCCTTTTGCCTGTTACAAACATATGCACAAAGACATAATACTCTGTACCACAATGTGGTGAAGGGTATAAAAACAACAAAATTTTTATTTTTAAAGTGGGTTATGGTCACATTGATTACTTTCGGAAAGGCAGAGAAGACTATAGTTTCGGATTTCGCCACAAATTCTCATCAGCTCTCTTAGTTTTTTGCTTGGGATATTGTCCCAGGGAGTCATGTATCACTCCACTAAACAAAAACCCCTTCTTCCCCAATTTTGTTACATCCACAACTTTAAGCCAAAGTACTTTTAGAGTACGCTCTGTTTAAGAATTCTCTAAAAGTCTCAGAAAATGTTATGGCGGAACATGTAACCATGTGCCATTACTCCACTGTTATGCGTCTCTACTTTGCAGAGAATCAACATAACATGTTTGTGCTGTCGTCTATTTAGATTCAGTGTGGCATTTGTTTGTAGAGATGTGTGTGTTTACTTTTTTAGGTAAGCCAGCTTGATGCCACACTGAATCTATTAATAATTTTTGGTAAGAAGATGTGCTCATTTGTGACGAAAACCCTTAAAACAGCACGAAAATATATATGGAAGATATATCTAAATCTGAACCATTTTCACCAAAACCTGACACACGTTAGGCTATACTATCTTCAGTAATTTTGTGCCAATCGGCTGAACTTAGCGTCTTTTTTCACCATTTACCTAAAATCGGACGAAAATATATATAGGATACACATCTTAATCTGAACCGATTTCAATAAAACTTGGCTATTCTATCTTAAGTACTTGGATCAAAATTTCGTGCCAATTGGCCTAAATTTGACTCTTTGGTGCACCATTTACCACAAATCGGACGAAACCATATATTGGAGATATAGCTCCAAATATGAACCGATTTTCACTAATTTCCAAAGGGATCGTCCTTAGGACAAATAAATGATCTGTGCCAAATTTTATCTAAATGCACCTGCACAGACGGACGGACATGAATAAATAGACTCAGAAATTGATTCTATGCATATTCTCAAAAGGAACCATGGATCTATCTCGTTTCCTTTTGCCTGTTACAAACATATGCACAAAGACATTATACCTTGCACCACAGTGTGGTAAGAGGTGTAAAAATCAAGTCTCATAACGGAGCCCGTATTTTTAAGGTCCTAGTCGTATATTTATCAAATTTACCTTAATTGTCTTTCAGGCGACGATTTTTTTTTTTTGGTTCTCACGGCCGTTTGTTTTGCCTAATTTTATTTTTAAAATATTTTTATCTTAACAATAACAAAGCGTATTTTAATAATACATATTTCTCTCCCTCCGCATCTTCTTACAGTGTGCGCCAATGTGACATATGTGGGACCGAAAAACGAACTAAACCTCGAGATGTTTGTCAATGAAACACAATCAGCTAAATATGCCGTTTCTGCTCGTAATCCTTCACCATTTTGTATACCGGTAATGTTGGGCATACCCATGTCGATGTGTGTCCAAATGTCCGATGTTGGACTGCAGGGTGATAATATGCATGCCTGTATGGATTTTATGGTTCAGCTGGCATCGACACAAATATTTGAAATGCATTTCCAGTGTATGCAGATAGGAGCACAGGGAGCTCAATGGGTGTTGCCCGGTGGCGGTCCCGTTATACCTCCCTCTCAAAGTAAAATTACCGATCGTAGTGATACAATGTCTGATGAATATTACGACGAAGAGGAAGAAGAGGAGGAGATTGAGCAAGGAGAGGAAGAAAATACTATTGAAACGGATGAGGCAACAAATAAATTAGTGGTGCCACAGAAATTGGGAGAAAAAGAAGAAGAGGACACAAATAAAGCTGAAACAGAGACTAATAAGATTATGGAATCCCAGAAGAAGGAAATGGATGAGGATGTAAATAAAGCAGAGGAGGAATTGGATTATGAAGATCTTATGGAAGAAAGTGATACGAATATATCCAAAGAAAATGAAGTCATAACCCCTGAAGAGAAAAAGGAAGAGAACGGAAAAGCTCCTAGTGTGGACAGTTATACTTTAAGACCTTTGAAAGCAAAAAGTGAAGAGGAGAGTTCAGCAGAACTTGAAACATCTGATGACAGCCAGATGTCAATTGAAAATAAAAATCACGATGAACAAATGAATCTTAGCAATGAAATAACTGAAAACTCTGAGGACCAGACAATGAAAAAAATCAATTTGGAAAATGACACTCAACCCATTATGGCTAATAGCGAAACAATGGAAAACATACCCATTGACAATATCAATGACACGGTAATGACTGTTACATCTTCCACAACACAAACTCCATTAATAATGCTGCCAAAAACCCCGACAACAACAACAACTACACCATTAAACGGACCACTGAACTCAACGTCGGATACCAAACCAGAGGAAAATAATAATAGTGGTCATAATGAGAGTGATTACGATGATGATGATGAAGGAGAAGAAGAAAGTGCTGAAGAGGATGATGAAATCGATGAGGATGATGCTGATGAAGATGAAGACGATGACGACAATGATGATGATGATGAATCGACTTCGACTGAAGTGAAAGAGCCTGTAAATGTTAATCGAAATAAACAAAAATTGACAACCACAACAAATGACAATGATATTGAAAATGTGACAGTCATTCCGTCCACGACCACCACTACCACCACCAAATTAGATGAGGAAAAAACTAAAGAAGACGATAACACAACTGCTGATGATGACGATGAATACTATGATGAAGATGAAGAATACGATGAAATTGCAGCGGATGTCCCAGCCAATAAAGAAAATTCCACGAGTGGCCTTGATGTTGCAATCCCAGTAACGCCACAAGCCGTAGCCACAAAGCAGACATTATCACCAACAACAACAAATACGATTGTTGAGAAATCTGAACATGACATTGCTGTAAATCTTCAATTATCCCCAGATGACATGCCTAATGCCAAAGACAACAACAATCACACAATAACAAATGCAACTGCCAGTGTTAACACAACAAATGAAATTGAGAAGTCACCACAACTCACGGAGGTACCAACTGTCAGCAGCAACAGTGACGATGCAGCAACACCTCTAACACCTGTTCGTAAGCTATACAGACTATATCGAGAGAAACATATACCCGCACGATTCTATAGTGGTCACCATTATAAACAACAACAACAACACCACGATAATGTGTAACACCACATTGATTTGCTTTTAAGTCTCTATTCTCCTGCGTGGTCATTAGCGGAAAGTAGAGTTATTTATTTTTTAACATAATTATAATAGTTTTTGTATATACATACTTATTTTTATTTTAAACAGATTATATATGTAAGTGGCATAAACACAATATTTACATAGTCATTAACATATTTATGAGATAATCAGTTTTTTTCTCTAAAGTGATGGCGATTGGAATATGGAAATGTTTAGATTAACAGTCATATCTGTTACACAGGCCTTAAACGCGTGTCCATGCCAGTCAATTTTAATTTGAAGTTTCTAACAATTTTCAAATTTAGTTCACCACAAGTTATACAAAATTTGTCAGTCCGTTTGAAACACCTCGAAATATTCGTCGGAGGTCCCATAAATATTGTTGATCAGTTTTTATTATTTTTATGAAAAAACCTTTCGAAAAGCTTTTGATGTTTGACAAAAAAGTTTTTTTGAATACATTTATAAGAGTATTTAAAGATTACCAGAAGGGAGCCTTCAGACGATCTATTCACTACCGCTCGTATATAAAAACTCCATTCTAGTTCGTATATAAAACTCCATTCTATAAAGACTCCGTTCTGGTTGCCTATAAACACTCCCCATAGACGACAAGAATGGAGTCTTTATAGACGACTCAAATGGAGTCTTCATACGATTTTTCTAGACGACGAGTATGGAGTCTTTATATACGAGCAGATAGGAGTCTTTATAGACGATCAGAATGGAATCATCATAGATTCAGAAGGGAGTATTTATCGACGAGCATTTAGGAGTATTTATAGACGATCAGAATGGAATCATCATAGATCAGAAGAGAGTATTTATAGACGACCAGAATGGAGTCTTGGTTGGCTGTCAGAATGAAGTCGTTGTTAATGACCAAAATGGAGACTTTATTAACGACAAGATTGGAGTATTTATAAACGACTCAAATGGAGTCTTCATACGAATAGGGAGTCTTTATAGACGATTACATAGGTGTTTCAGACGTTCTCAAGATTTAACTCTGGTAGTGAAAACTTATATTTATGAGTTCTAGAGGCATGCTACTTTAAAATATCAATAAATATGAATATTTTTCCAATTTTTATACCCTTCACCACACTTGTGCATATGTTTGTAACAGGCAAAAATAATCGAGATAGACCCATGGTTCCTTTTGAGAATATGGATAGAATCACTTTCTGAGTCGATTTCTGCATGCCCGTCTGTCGGTCGGTCCGTCCGTCCATGTATTTTTGTTAACAAAGTACAGGTCGCATTTATGATCCAATTTGTATGAAATTTGGCAAAGGTCACTTAATTGGCCCAAGGACGAACCCTATTGAAATTGGAGAAAATCGGTCCACGTTTAGGCATAGTTCCCATATAATGGTACCCCCCAAGTTTCGGTATTTTGAGGTTCTTTAGCGCGTTGTTTTAACTGAATTCGCTGAAATTTGGTACTTTGAGTTCTTATTGGATAGCAAATCTCTCCACTAAAAATTAAAAATAAGGGTCCATATAGCTCCCATATAAGGGTACCCCCAATTTTGCGGTATTTTGGGTTTTTTGATCCCATTTATCGACCGAATTCGCTAAAATTTGGTACTTTGTGTTTTTATTGGGTAGCAAATCTCTCCACTATAAATTATAAATATAGGTCCATTTTTTCGGGTAGCCCCCATATAAGGGTACCCCCCAATTTTCGGTGTTTTGGGGTTCTTGAACGCGTTTCTCAATCAAATTCTTTGTAATTTGTTTTTTTATAGTCGTATATGGCAACAAACCTCCCTCCCAAAAATTATTAATATTCGCCCCCTTTTAGGGGTAGTCCCCACATAACCCCCTTTTTATACCCTTCACCACACTTTGGTGCATATGTTTGTAACAGACAAAATTAATTGAGATAGACCCATGGTTCCTTTTGAGAATACGCATAGAAACTCTTTCTGAGTCGATTTTTGCATGTCCGTCTGTCCGTCCGTCCATGTATTTTTGTTAACAAAGAACAGGTGACTTAATTGACCCAAGGACAACCCCTATTGAAATTGGAGAAAATCGGTTCAGATTTAGATTTAGCTCCACATATATATTTTCGTCCGATTTTAACTTATTGATGCATCAAACTCCCAATTGTGGTCCGATTGAGAAAAAATTTTGCACAGAGTATTGAATTAGGTCTATATAGTTATATGTCAAAGTTTGTTGAAATTGGTTCAGATTTAGATATAGCTCCGATGTATAGTTTCGTCCGATTTAAAGTACATTGTGCACCAAACTCCCAATATTGGTCCGATTGAAGCAAAATTTTGCACAGAGTACTAAATTACGTCCCGACTGATGTATGCGAAATTTCTAGATCTACAGGATATTGGAGATATTAACATGCCTTGCATGTACCCATAGTGGTGAAGGGTATCATATAGTCGGCCCGGTCCGACTTTTGAACATTCCTTACTGGGTGCCATTGAACAACACATGCTATCATCCATACATTTCGAAGGAAGGTATTTTCATTTAAATTTTGAAAGCTGAATGTTGTCAAAAGTACATTTATTAATAATTGTATATTTATGCCATGATTTTGTACTTTTATCTTAAATACCTGTAAAGGTGGACGGGTTGATTTATGAAAATCAAAAGAAAGTGCTTCTGTTGCTGGTTGCCTTAAGCGATAGTCTTATCCGACATGAAGGCCATGTTCAAATATTTCACATACTATTAAAAACAAAAAATATTTCTACAAAAATTGCTTGCGGTAACCATAAACTATCTATGTACATAAGTACTCTACTAAATTCTAACATCTTTAAATATTATTTTCGAATATTTTCTAAGAAAACATCTAATTACCATTTATAAAAATCTAAATATTAACGATCATTTTACAATCGGAATTTTTTAAAGGCCTCAAAACTTAATGCTTTCTTCTACTTTCTATTCCAATTGCCTGGCCGAGTCAAAGTGTGCGTATGTTAAACCAGATTTTATGATGTCAAACATTACGTGTAAACATTAATATGCACATACACACTCTGACCAACTGATTAATTGTTTAATGTTTTTCTTGTTCGCTTGTTGAAATTGTTGTTTATGACTTGTTAATGTTATTGTTATTATTATTACTATTAATATATTTTTGTTATTTATTTCTATAGCCGTAGGTTATTTTTCTAATTTTTATAATTTAGTTATAATTGTGTGTAATATTTTAATAAAATGTAAAACAAATATTTAAAATAAACAAAAAACTTGTTTATTTGTGATAATAATTTGTCTAAATATAATATTGGTAAGTATAATGAAAATTATAATTTATAGACGAACTAAATGGGTGTCTATATTCACGATCTGAAGGGTGTCTGTAGAGACGAATGAAGGCTGACAAACAGAATGAAGTCTTTCTATGTCAGGGAGTCTTTGCAGACGGTCTGAAGGTAGTCTTTATAGACTATATACAAATATTAAGCGATTTCAAACAAACATGTCACAGGTTAGGTTATAGTAACTTCAAAACGTTTTGTTCCTATCAGCCTATTGGTTCCTTGGTGCGTCAATTACTTAAAATCAAACTATAATAAAAGGGAGCTATATCTAAATCTGGACCGATTTTCACGAAACAAGACAGACATCACTCTAGACTCTGGTGTAGACTTTGGTGCACCATTTACATGAAATCGGACGAAACTATATATGGGAGCTATATCTAAATCTGGACCGATTGTCTCGAAACTTTGCAGACTTCACTCTAGGCTCAATTCAGTACGTTATGCCATATTTCGTGCAAATCGAAGGATATATAGGGACTTTGGTGCACCATTTACATGAAATCGGACGAAACTATATATGGGAGCTATATCTAAATCTGAACCGATTTTCATGGAACTTTGCAGGCATAATTATAGCCCTAAATGATTAGGCTGTACGAAATTTCGTGCAAATCGAAAGCTATATAGGGACCGTTTACATTAAATCGGTTAAATATATATATGGGAGCTATATTTAAATCTGAACCGATTTTTCCCAATTTCAATAGGGTTCGTCCTTGGGCCGAATAAGTGACCTATGCGAAATTTCATCCAATTCGGATCATAAACGCGACCTGTACTTTGTTTACAATTTAACATGCACAGACAGACGGACGGACGGACATGCATAAATCGACTTAGAAAGTGATTCTTTGCATATTCTCAAAAGGAACCATGTGTCTATCTCGTTTCCTTTTGCCTGTTACAAACATATGCACAAAGACATAATACCCTGTACCACAGTGTGGTGAAGGGTATACAAATCAGGAGACATTCTGAATCGAGTTCGTGGCCATTCAGGGTATTCGGATCCTAACATCCATTCCCTAGATTAATTTGTTTGAAAATAATAATAATAGGAACATGTTGTTCCTTAAAGTATCTGAAATGTTGATATGTCAGGGGAAATATAAAATCAGGTGCCTAATCGTTTTCCAATGTCTTTGAACTTATAAACAGAACACTTCGCATATATCCGATACCAAAAATGTGTATCACAGAGAAAACTAATATACGAGATATTTTCTTTGCAAAAATCGATCATTAAGCTCAGCTGTAAAGAGAACAACTAACAAAAAAACAGCAATATTAGAAAATATAACATAATATCTAATTTGAAGGTTGTACCAAAACCTCCGTGCGATGGTACCTATTCGTATTGAACATGCCAACTACCGATAACATTCAGGTTGGAAAACGGGGGTAAGAACTTCAACATACCGAAAACTGAACGGGAAATAATTATGGCGTCTTTTTTAAACGTTAAGCTATAGTGCATAATTTCTTGGGTGATGTTTTTTATACACAAGAATTCGTTATGTCTAATTAAAGTCAACTCTATGAGAAAATTAGGTCAATGTCTTTATAATACCGAAAATAGAGGGGGGACCTGTATGTATTGCTATATCAAAACGTGGACATAAATAGATAATCCCGGAATGACATATTTTAGCTACCACAATCGGA